GGGAGCTCCCCAAACACTGGTTCCATTGATGATCATGCCACCCTCTTTGCAAGAAAATCAGCCCTCTCATTCCTCCCAATGCCAGATTGGCCCCTAGCCCACATAAATGAGACCTTGAGGCTTTTCACAGATAAGCACTGGAGGAGAGTTATTTGTGCAATGATGTTCAATTTTGTGTTTAATTTGTGGATTTGTAATAAGGCTGTCTTGCTGTCACTAAGAATTTCCACAGAAGTTTTATTTTTCTTGTTAAAGTCAGTGTCTACAATGCCCTTCCAGCTTTGCACCCATCTGCCAAATGTTTTGTTCGTTCGGTCCAATGATAACTGCAGAACACCCTATGTCTTCTGGGGTATTTGACCCATCTCTAAAGATTTTGAACCGTGGCTGATTGTCTTGAGTAGTGGTGTGGATATTGTTTATAGGATGCCAGTTGCAGGCAGGATGCAGTTTGTAGTGCCTGTGGGTATAGTCCATATTGTGTTTAATGATTGTGCTATGCTGTATAGTATGATGCTATGTTTTTAATACTTGATGGAACGTAAGGAGTAAGGAGGCCATTAGGATTTCTACTTAGGTGAAACTTCCAGTATGTTTCTAGAATTTTGAGGTCTAAGGGAGCTAAGTTTGCCAGTACGTGGAGCGCGTTGGTAGGTGATGTTCTGTAGGCTCTTGCTACAGTTAGTAGGCAGGCCCACTGGTTGGATAAAATGTTTCTTTTAGTCTGTTGCTTGGTGACTGCCTTTCCCCATATCTCAGCCCCATAGAGTACCACTGATTCAATAGCACACTTGTAGATTGTTCTGCTAGTATGGTGCTTTATACCCCATTGGTTTCTACAAATAGAGAACAGAGAATAGGCAAGTTTAGTACATTTTTTCTTTGATGTTCTGAATATGGGGATTCCACATGAGAGTGTTATCTATCAGGATCCCAAGATATTTTATTTCAGTACTTGTCCGAATTTTTGGACATTGCTTTTGATAGCTGGGTGCTTGTCTAGGGGCCTTTTCCTAAGAAAAACTATTGAGTTACATTTTTCAATATTGATTTTAAGCTTGTTATTTTCAGCCCATCTATTGACAGACCTTAATTAACAGTTTATAAACTAAATACAAACTCACCATAAACTGGAACCGTAATATTCGCAAATCACACCTAAATTCAAAATTTCCAGCAAATAAAAGTCAAAAACACATATAGAATGTTTTCGGCCACTAAATTTATCGGCCTTCCTCAAGAAATATCAACTGGAAAAATAGAGCTAAGTTCTATTTATAGAATGGTTTTTCCAGTTGATATTTCCTGAGGAAGGCTGATAAATTTAGTGGCCGAAAACATTCGATATGTGTTTTTGACTTTTATTTGCTGGAAATTTTGAATTTAGGTATGATTTGCAAATTAATAGTTTATTCATGTTAACTTGCAGCACCTCTTGGTTTCTGTGCTTCATTGTAATCAGTGTGTCATCTGCAAAGCCAACTATGTCAGCATCAGGAGTTGCTTGATTGGAAGGTTGACTATCCTGTAACCTCAAGAGGCCATCATAGGCCAACAGCCACAATAGGGGCCCAGAGCAAGGCCCCTGGGGTAGCCTCTACTTATTGCCCTTGTGAGTGTAGTTGTGCTTGTTTTAATACACACTGTTCTGTTTTGTAAAAAACTCCTAAATAAAGCAATGATGTTCTTGGGGCAATTATTGTTATTGAGGGAGTCTAATATCACTGGCCACCATGCATAGTCAAATGCTCCCTTGAAATCTATAGAAACAGCTAATGTATGCATGTCTTTCTGTTTGGCTTCTTTAATGATCCCCATAACTTGGCAGAGGGCTATCCCCAGACTTCTGTTTTTCCTAAACCCATGTTGGTTTGGGTGGAACAGCTGCCTTGATTTTCCATATGATGATGTAGTCTCTTTGCAATTAAAGCGTCTAACACCTTTCCAAGAATAGAAAGCAACAAGATGGACCAGAAGTCTTGTGGCCTGGTCTGTTGTCTAATGTTGCCTTTGAGAATTAATTTAATATGGGTTGCCTTCCACTTCTTAGGGAAATAGCCAAATTTTAAACACTTGTTGTAAATCACTAAGAATATAGTGGGGATGGTCTGATAGGCCCTCTTTGCCATATCTCCTGAGATGCCATCCATTCTGGGAGCTTTTTTCTAGTTTATATGCCTGAAGCATTTCCCTATCTTACATTCCTAAAATATTTCAAAGGATAAAGACAACTGTCAAAAATGAAGGCATTACATTAATTCCAGAACAAAAACTAATAGACTTATCAAATTACTAAAGCCAAATAATGAAGAAATACCAACTGGTATATTGGATAAAATGAATACCATATATTCTTTCCAATGTAGTTGTTTAGAAAAATACAGATATATTGGAGAAAAAAAAATTAAAGAGAAGGTTAACCGAACACACAAGAGCAATAAAGTATAATTATCCTAATTTGGCACAGTGGCTCATTGCAACACATATGGATGTGAAATAAATCAAAATACTCTGAAAATAGAAAAACAGAGGAACAACCTATAAAAGACAGTTGTTTGAACATCTGGAAATAATTTCATCTAAAGATAAGAAATGAATAAAAGTTTGGGCAGACCAACAGATAAATTCCAGTACAGCTTGTTAAATATAGGAGTGCTTAAGAACCTCAAGGGGAGTTAAAGCTGTAGAATGATGTAGTGTTGGCTGGATAATTGCCACATGGAATGGTGTGTTGGTAGTTCGTTTAGTGAGTAAAAGCTGTTTAAGTGAACAAAATTGTAATAAGCATTGTAATAAGCAAGAAAGCATTCGAGAAATTTTACTGGTAGGCAGATGTATATTTAGTAAGGAAATTATATCAGTAATTTAGAATTATTTAGATTTGTTGATGTTACAGGAAGAATTTAAAAAAATAGCAGTTTAAAAGTCTATTCCAAAAATGTTGAAAGAAATATATGGGTATATTAAAATAAAAAATTTTTAATTTTTAAAGATATTTTTTTAAAACTTTTGTGTAAATTAATGGGTAATTTTTAAATTGCAATTAAAACAAGGTAATGGGCATGACCCACAATTTGAACAACGCACCTACATTTGAATTGCATGCACAGCATTAAAATGCACGTTGATAAACAAAATCTGTTTTGTGCCCAAGTTGTCTTGCACTCTCGCTGTGAAAGCATCTCTTGCATTAAGCATGTATATTTCAGTACTTCAATGCTTTTTTTGCTGTGTTTGATTATGTATATAACTCCTAATTATTAACCATGACATCCAAGAAAAGTGTGGAAGCAACAAAGCCTAACAAGTGAGAAGGCTTTACTATATTGTGAGAACCTGGAGACCATCTGACCAATTTTTACCCACATTTTAGGGAGATTTATTTAGATTCCATTTTTATTATTTGAAAAATTTGTTTAAAAAATCCATTAAATTTTCTTTTACTTTCAAATTTGGTAAAAAAGGGAAATACAACTTCTTTCTGTTTTGTCAAGATAACAGGCTTCATCGTGGGAAACGATCTAATCTCACATTGTTGATATATCTTGTGGCACAACTGAGATCCCTTGGATCCTGTCACATGGTGTGCCACATTGACCCTCAATTGAAGAAAATTCAGGGATAAAACAGGAGAACATCCCGTTCTCTAGGCTCTCTCACCAAGGTCACTAACATCAAGGTTCTCTTAGATTCTCTCTTCAGTTCTCTAGTAAAAGTACTTCTCCAGTCCATTTATTTTATGTCAGAAGAATTCTAGTCTACCAACACCGTGAAGAATTAGAGTCAACGTTCAACAATAAAAAGGAACAGATTCCACAATTAGAAGTAATATACGTATGTTATTGTGAACTCTCTGTTGGTATTTTACTCGGAATCTAATATTGTTATATTTGCTTTGTATTTAATCTTTAAATAACAAAAGAATATTTTAATATAAACTAATCTAGTAGTAATTCAAACACAAATTATTATTGTATTTATTTTCAGGCACTTGGCAATTTTTATCATCAAATTTTTTTATTTAGTTGAAATCCATTGGGTTGTTTCAACTAAATAAAAAAATTTGATGATAAAAATTGCCAAGTGCCTGAAAATAAATACAATAATAATTTGTGTTTGAATTACTACTAATAACTACTAGCACGGTTTCAAAGTACCAGAATAAACTAATCTAATTTAGAACTCTATTCATTTAAATGCTGGTCACTATCAATGGACTCAACCCTTCCCACTTGACATATTATTTCTTTTATTGTGAGTTAGGACATGTGTTCTTGTTTATTCTAACTGGTGTCAGGAATCATAGACTAAAGAAAAATTTTGACAATCTTTCTGTAAATTAAATTATAACCATCCCAGACCTTGTGAGCAGGCTTTACACACCCAATCTCACATCAGGTGTTAGGAGATAGGAATCTTGTATCCTAGCTCCACACTGTGAGTTCTCACACTATTGATGCTTGAGATGAAAAAGGAACTTATTGTAGTGTGAAAGTGTTGCTTGTGTGGCAGATCTGGCAGCTTAAGCCATATCACCAACTTTAGGCTACCAGTTCTGGCTACCTAAAGTTTATGATGTGCATCTTTCAGAACAAAGAAACAACAAATGCAGTAAATTTGGCTAAATTTAGGTGTGATAACATTCAGAGCCATACCAATGCATTGGCAACAGGGCAAGAGAGAAGAATGTGAGGCATGAGGGACACTTGTATATAAATATCAGGAGCCCTTTGCCATAATTCATGTTGCCCCAATACATCCCTGCAGGGCAGGGTGCCCCATTGTTATGTAGTGCGTTTTTCGTGAGCGATTCGACTGTCTTTTTCGGCGCTTTTCACCTGTGTTCTGGTCAGCTAGCTCTTTTGTAACGCCTTATTTACATTTCCACGGGGAAGCAGAGTTGCACCTTCCCGAGGTCCTGCCCGTAAGTAACCCGAAAGGGTGAAACGAAGCAACTCCTGCGTCTTTTAGCAAACATACAAACAGTCCTCTTCAGGACTATGGCCAAAAAGCCACACGTCTCCGAATCGGAACACGAGGTGTCTTCCCAAGGAGAAATGGAACTGGTTGAAGAAGACGAGAGAGTGAAGATAGCAGAAAGCATCCACGAAGAAGTTAAAAATTACATGACCGAGAATCACAAGTGTAAACTCGGAACAGGTGAACACATTTCTTATGTATGTGGTCAAATAGACAGACTTATTGAACTTCTAAGACAGAAGCCAACTAATCAGCTGCAAGACGCAGTAGAAAGTTTACATAAGAAGATAGATAAAGTTCTACAGTCAAAAGAAAGCACTGGGCCAAGCTATGCCCAGGTTACAGCACAGAAAATCACAAGACCAAGAAAGAAAATACTCCTGGTGGATCCAGAGAATGATAACACAGATGCTGAAAACACCAAACAGAAGCTAAAGAAGAACATAAATCCCAAAGAAATGGGAATAGGAATACAAGCCGTCTGCAAACTTAAGAGAGGAGGAGTAGCGATTGAAGTGGGATCAGCAGAAGAAAAGAACAAGCTTAAGGAAGTTATAGAATCAAAAATCGGATTAAAGACAAGAGAACCTTTTAAAAGAAAGCCACGCATCATCTTATATGGAGTAGGAACAGAGGTGTCCAGAGAGGAAATTCTCGAGTGTCTATATGAACAAAATGAGATTATCAATAGCAACATGACGGAAACTGAGTTTCGCAATAAAGTAGAAGTGAGATTCCAATTTGGAAGTAAAGGCAAGCAATCAACCAATTGGGTAATTCAAGTGAGCCCTGACGTAAGAAGACTTATACTGAAAGTAAAGAAAATCAACCTGGGCTGGTCCAGGTGTGGAGCAGAAGATCACATATCCGTAACACAATGTTTCCAATGCTGCCGCATTGGACATATTGCAAAAGATTGTCAAGAAAAAGCGCCCATTTGTAGCCAATGTGGCCAGAGCCACAAATATAAAGACTATACGCACAAAGAAAAAGCAGAGTGCGTGAATTGCAAGAGGGAAAAAATTAAAGATTTTAAACATAACGCTTGCTCAAAGAATTGTCCACTGATACAGAAAGTCAAAAAAATGTTGATCGCTAAGACCGACTATGGGGAGTGATCCCATTGAGACTGTGAATGATAGAATGTTAAAAATAGTACAAGTGAATGTGCAAAGGTCAATCAGTGGAACATCAGCACTTTGTAAAACACTTGAAAGAGTGGATATGACTATTGTACAAGAGCCATATTGCCAAAGAGGAGTGCCAGCATGCCTAAGGACAATATATAAAACACTTTTTAACAGGGACTTTCACCCATCTACTGCCATCATAATAAGCAATCCAAACGTCTTGGCGATATTTCATTCAGAGGAGAGTAACCAATACTTAACCTGCCTTGAAGTTGGAAATGGCCTCGATAACTACTTTTTTATATCTGCCTACAGCCCAAGAACAAATGACTTAAATCCTATTTTACACCAATTGGATGTACTTGTTAAACGCTTTAAGCATAAACACATCATCATTTGTGGTAATATAAACGCGCATTCGGAGTTGTGGGGAGACCCGAACAACGATGAAAGAGCGAGCCAAATAATTGAATTTATAAGCGCCAATGGCCTATATTTATTAAACCAACCTGACTCTTTACCAATTTTCGTTGCTGCTACCGGTCAGAGTTGGATTGACCTGACCATGTGCAACGGTAAGGCCTTAAATAAAATAATGTCTTGGCAGGTATCACCACTATGCAGTCTTAGCGACCATAGTTATATATTCTTTGAAGTCGGTGCCAACAAGGGAATGATAGGTGAAGATAGTAAGCAATTTGCCATAAGCAGAGCGAACTGGCCATTATTTAAATCAAAAATGGAAGGAGTGATGAACATAGAAAACCTACAGAAATGCTACAACAAGAGTTTGACAGAGCAAACGATCATGGAATTCAATGAGAATCTACTACAAGCCTGCAGAGACAGCATCCCCAAGAAAAAGAAAACTCAAAAAGCAATGCCATGGTGGTCAGAGGAATTGACAAAAATGAGGAAAAGAAATAACAGACTAAGACGGAGATTCCAGAGAGCCAGAAATGACACTGAGAGAGCAAATAAGAAAAGAGAATATCTGGATAACAGCAAGCTATATAAAAACATGATCAAAGCAAGGAAACTCCAATCCTGGAAAAATTTTTGCACAGAAAGCTCCACGAAACCATGGGGCTTCTTATACAAGGCCTGTGCAGGCAAACTAAAAACTCCGACCTTCCTTACAGCTATTCATGACGGAGATAATTACACAGAAGGTGTTGAAAACACAATCCTAAAGCTTATGGATACATTCTTCCCTAAGGATGAACCGAGCACAGACACAATAGAACAAAGGTATATAAGAACTGAGAGTGAGAAGGAATACAGTGGTCAGATGGACCCGGATTTTACAAAAGAAGAAGTACAGAACGCAGTATATAGACTAAAACCGGGAAAGGCACCGGGCCCGGATGGAATAGTAACAGAAATAGTGTATAAGGTATGGGAGACAAGCCCAGATTACATGACAAAACTGTATAACCTGTGCCTAGAGCATAAGGTCTTTCCGTCAATCTGGAAAACGGCAAAACTAGTAATCATACCAAAAGGAGATGGGCTGGAAAAAAGTGAAGCAAAAAATTACAGGCCTATAAGCCTTTTACCAATACTTGGCAAGGTTCTGGACTATTTAATAAGTCAAAGAATTATGACGCACATAACAAGGAACAAGTTCTTAAACATCAAACAGTATGGGTTTCTTCCAAACAGAAGCACAGAGGACGTAATATGCACAGTAGTCAAAGAAATCGAATGGACACTATCTAAGAACAAGTATTGCTGTGGGATTAGTCTTGATATCAGAGGCGCCTTCGACCACGCATGGTAGCCCCTGATCCTAAAGTCCTTAAGAGAAGCTAAATGTCCAGGGAACATATACCAAGTTGTAAAGGATTATTTACATGATAGGAAGGTTGAATATTCAACAAACAGTTCAAACATTACTCGAGCCCTTGATAGGGGATGTCCCCAGGGTTCGAACTCGGGACCATTATTTTGGAACTTAGTCTACGACCAATTCCTTAGGATTGATAAAGGAGAAGGAATCCTAGAACTTGCATATGCTGATGACACTATCATCATCTACGGTGCAAACTCCCGTAGAGAAATAGAACAAATTGGAAACCAAGTACTTGATAAAATAATTAAGACAGGAGAGCAACTTAAGCTTTCATTCAATGCTAAAAAGACAAAAGCAATTATTTTCACTAAAGGTCGAACTCCTGACCTATACAAGAGATGTCCAATGTTGAAGATGGGTAGCGATAATATAAAAGTAGTGAAGCAACTTCAATACCTAGGTGTAGTGTTGGATAATAGACTATCTTGGCTCCCCCACACTATCTCAACTAGAGATAAATGCATAAATATGTTTAACGCTCTTGCAAGAGTGGCGAAGGCTACATGGGGCCTGAATAAGGATGCCATAGAGATTATCTACAGAGGGGCTTTCATTCCAAGATTAACATACGCAGCAGCAGCTTGGCAATCAGCTGCTGATAAAGAAGTAATAAAAAAGAAAATATACAGTGCACAGAGATGTGCCTTACTAAGAATTACAAGGGCATATCGCACTACATCTACCGAAGCATTATTGGTTATAGCGGGCATGCCACCAATAGATCTAATCATGAAAGAAAAGGCTGTCCTCTACCATTGCAGAAAGGGGCATAGCATTCAAATAGAAGGGAGAGTGTTAAAGGCAGACGAAATAGACCTTAAGCCAACTTCACTTATGTTACCAAGGCCACCAGAACGGAAAGTGATAGAGATAGCAGAGAATGAGGAAAGAGGTGAAATAGAACTGTACACAGATGGATCAAAGGTGGATGAACATGTAGGTGCGGCCTTCCTGGCAATGTACAATGGTGAC